GGGATTCGAACCCGCCACCTTAGGTGTACGTGGCTGGCGCCTTAGCCGGTTGAGCTATAGGCGCCGAGCCAGAATATCAATTTTTCACACCCCACCTCCTATTACCTTCATGAACAGTGTCTGATATAACAGTGACTCCCTGGGCAGAGCTCCTGGGCCTTCCCAGCACTGCCTCTTCAAGTCTAGTGTAAGCCAGCTCTTTTTTCTTCATCTACCTTTATCCACTTCCCTTCTCTCTCTCTAACAAAATTAAGTTCACTTCATGCTAGATTTTGTTTTTGCTATTTAAGGAAACCATTTTATATAGTATATCCTCTTAAAATTCACCTGAATTCGTCTAGAAAGCTCAAAGTGACTCGAGCAGGGTATGCCAGCAAAGTATCATGGAAAATTTTATAGGGAAATAACAATCAAATTTCTCACATTGTATCAATGATGTTGCCAACTTTATGTTGATAAGCTCGACGGTGTAAACAGTTCCGAGTGTGGAACATGTCGTACAGATTTCCAACCTCCTGCAGGAAAACATGAAATAAATATTAAGGTAGAATCAAATTATGTTAACCTTATTAACAGAAAATATGCATGACAAGGAAAAGGGATGGTGGCAGACAAGAAGACTGTATGTGGGGGCTACGTCATTAAAAGTCCTAAACCTACTAAAAAATGGGAGGCAGATTAGTAAAGCTATTTATTGGTCTGAAACTTTCTTTTGTTAGTAAACTAAAGTCTATTGCATGCTCTAACTCTGTGACAGGTTCTGTTTTAGGTAGCTTAAACATCCTTTTTAATCCTCCCCATAATTCTAGGAAACAGGTATTATTATTCTTGTATTCTTTCTTCTTAACAGAAAGACTTCCTATTGTTTAGCACCATTTTAGTTTTGGTTACATGACTGACTGCCATCTAGCAGAGACCTATGATTTCAGTAGTTGACTTTGAACAATAGGGGTAGGAACTTCACAGGTCCATTTATATTTGGGTTTTCTCCTGCTTCTGCCATCTCTGAGATAGCAAGACCAATTCGTTCCACTTAATGAATATAATGTATTTTCTCTTCCTTATGATTAACTTAACATTTTCTCTAGCTTACTTCATTGTAAGAATATAGTATATAATACATATAATATATAAAATGTGTGTTAATTAACTATATATGTTATTGGTAGGTCTTCTGTATAACAGTAGGCTATTTGAGGGAGAGTCAAAAGTTATTATATCCACTATGTGGGAGGGTCATCACCCCTCACCACCATACTTTCAAGGGCTAATTATATTCTGATACACTAATACAGTGATTAAAACTGAGATTCTAGAATCAAATTTTCTGAGTTGAAATTCTATCTCTTCCACTTATAAATTGTATGCTTTCGGGTTCGAATCCCTAGCCCGGGCCCGCCAAACAACAATGATGGCTGCAACCAAGAAATGGCCAGGCATTGTGGCAGGCACCTGTAGTCCCAGCTACTTGGGAGGCTGAGGCAGGAGACT